GCATATCGATTTACCCCAGCACGTCAACTCTCAGCTCCTCAAAACAAAAAGTGCGAAAAATCAATAAATCGATAGAATCGGCCGATAAATTTTCAAGAGGATATCAGATTCGTAATTGGCATATATCGCCTGCTTAGACCAGGCGATCAACAGCTGTTGTGTGGGTTGTGAACAACATAACAAATAACTTCTGACGTTGCCCTATTCCTCAAACCAAGTGGATATTTTAAAAAGAAACATGCCTTTATAAAAACACGTAGTCTGCGGATAAAGTGCCAAAACAATGGCTTCCATTGGGAATAGAGCGTGAGCATCTCTTTCTGGGTCAGCCCTCCATTTCGGTAATGGTATGAGACGACGTCTAGCGATTGTCAGGCGCACCTGTACTGGTTGGTATAAGAACAGTACAGACTTTAGAAAAATTGAAGTTGTTACCCTTTGTTCATCATCAACGTCTTTCACGTCGTATCGTCCCGTAGGACTAACTGCTAATACCTAAAATTTATGCTGATCGTTAGCGTTTGTGTAAAAACGCATGAAGATGATATTAACAGTACCTCTGCTAATATCCAATTTTCGTCCACATAGGCTGCAACAGAATCGCCTGATTTAAGAGGTAGCGTCTCAGGAATCGCTATACCCCCGACAAATGGTGGCGGGAAACCATCAACGCCACCCACCCACAAAGGCAATGTTGTTCCCTGTAATGCTGTTCCCTGCAGTCTGAGAACATATGACAAATTATTTCAAGAAGTTAAAATAAACCGACATCTGCGACTAAAAAAAATAATTTTTAATTAAACAACTCAAATTGTTCACTGACCTGCCTTTTGCTATATACAACATCCTGCTCTCAGCAAAGGAAAGTAAAAAAAAAAGCAGTTTGCTTGAACAGTCTAATTTTTCAAACAAGAAAAAGCGCCAGAATGAGTTCGAATAGAGGCCTATCGCAGATTTCCATTTGAACAAATCAGTTGTATGGTGCGTTCAAAAAGTTACCAACAAATCGAGCGAAGATATGTTAAAAACCTGATATGGAAGTCTGTCACAAAAATGGCATATTGGTCTCAACTAGATTCCAGTTTTGGCTCTGCGCTAAGATAATGCAAGGAAAAAAAGGTAGTCATGTACCTGAAGATTTATAAGTTGCATTAATGCATGACGCTTTAGATGAGTTTTCATTTTTGTCTTGTACTCAGATTTTCGTATCCTTTCGATATCGCACAGTAGTCTTCTGCAAATGTACGTTATAGATGGGTGAAAGAATAGTATCAGTATCTAAAATTTCTCAATGTGCTTGTTTGCACAGAACTAGCAGAACTAGTCACAACATGCAAAGAAATTTATAACGCAAAATCTGACCTGATATATTCTCCCTCACTCTCGCATGCTTTCAGTAGAGTTTGATAAAGAGCAAGAGATTTAGCTTTATTCTTGTGGGAAAGCGTACCTCCTTTGTCAGTATAAGATTGGAGGGCTTCCAGAGCCTCATTGACACGATCTTGACGACTTTTAACGTGCACTAACTAAATGGGATTCGAATTTACTAAGGGGATTTCAGATGAA